AAGGCTCAGGCCCAAGGAGGTTCCCCCCCCATGTGTGACCCTCACAGAGATGCTCCCACCTTCAGGGGAAAGGAGCCAAGTGCCCTGAGTCTTGCCCAGGGCTCAGCTACGTGGTTCCCTGCAGGGAAATGCCCTCAAGGATGGGAAGGGGCAGGTGGTGGCCCCAGTGATCTCCCTCTCCCAGGGGTCCCTGCACACTGGGTGGAGGCAGATGTTGGCAGCTGGTCCAGGGAGGAGGATGCTCAGGGTTGGGGGAGGAGCTGCTTGCAGCATGGAGCAGGGGCTGTGTGGGGAGGGAGGTGCTGCTGTGGGGCCCTCAGGCTGCACACTCACCCCATAGGAGTCCACGATGAGCTGCAGGACATTGCTGGAGTCTCTGGACAAGGTGCCCACAGTTGTGCCTGGGATCAGCTCACTGTAGTTCTGGAGAAATACCAAAAGCATGGTCTGTGATGGGTGAATGTGGCAAACCCTGTCCCAACGTGTGGGAGCTTTGGTAGGACAGGAGGCCATGAAGCTATGCCTGGCCACCCATGGTCAGCTGCAAAGGATGCTCCTCAGGACCCACCAAGCCCCCAGGAAAGTGGCTTTTCACAGCAACTGTTACCTGGTAGAGCCCAACAACTGTTTCTGTCACAGCAAAGATCAAGTTGATGTTCTTCTGTGAGAGCTTCTCAGTCATCAGGCCCAAAGAGGGATAGTCCTGGGGAAGAGGAGAGGCTGTACCATAGCAACATGTACCCCCAACCTCATCATACCCTCTAACCAGGGCTGGACCACCTTTCCCATCCCATGGGAACCCTCAACAGGAGCTTTGGGCTCCACAGCCCCACACATGGGTCAGCATTTACCAGCGTGGTGGAGGCAGAGTAGAAGTTGTCCTCATCAATGTGGCACTGGGCATCATTGGGCTGCACGATGCCAGCCAGCCTGCCATCCAGGGCAATGTGGGTCTTGGCATCCGTGGTGAAGACCAGCAGGTGGGAAGCATCGTTCCTCCATCCAATCTTCTCCTGCAGTGACAGGGAGCTCATAGGAACGTGGCAACGTGCTCTGAGGGCAGCCCCAGGTGCCACCACCCCAGGGCTGCCTTTCCTGCCACCCCTGCCTGGCCAAAGGGACCAACCTGCCACTGCAGGGGGAGCTGAGGGCCATGGCTTTCCCAGGGAGGTGCTGGGGAAGGGTGGGGTGGTGGGACAGGGCACCCGGCAGGTGGGCATGGGCTGCTTGTAGAGCAGATAGGGTTTAATTTGCTGGAGTGTTAATCAAGGTGGCTAATGACTGAGGGATGCAACCCCTCCCGTCTCCAGCAAAACCAAGGTGCAGGCACAGGAGATGTCCCTTCTGGGCTGGCATGGGATCATCCTCAGTCCCCAGGCACCTGCTCTGCTCCTCTCTCCTTCCAGGACCTAGAGATGCCCACGTTGGATGCTCCCCCTCCCCAGACCTGAGCTCCATAGAACTTACCGTCCTGCCCTGGTGGGGCTGGGTGTTCCCTGCCCACCCCATCCCCATCCCCAGCCTTGATGCCCCTCTCCCAGGCCCAGCCAGGCCCTCTGGCCCCTCACCTGGCACACGGTGGCCTGGATGATGGCATCAAAGCCCCCCTCGGGCGCGTCGCGGTTCCGGGACACGCTTTGTTTCTGCACCTCCTCGTTGAACCGCGTCACCTCGTCCGTCAGCGACAGGACGTGCTTGTAGCCAAACATGGGCAGGCAGGTTTCCCCAGTCCTGCAGGAGGAGAGCAGGGAGGGCAGCAGGCTCACAGGGATCTTCAGCTCCCATCCCCACCCCGTGACCATCTCGTGGTCCTCTCTGGGATGTGCTGGGGGGAAGATCTTATAGGGATGGGCTGAGGGAGCTGGGGGTGTTGAGGCTGGAGGAGACCCAGGGGGGACCTTCTCACTCTCTTCAACTCCCTGAAGGGAGGTTGTGCTCAGGTGGGGTTGGGCTCTTTTTCCAGGCAACCAGCAACAAGACAAAAGGGCCTGAAGCTGCTCCAGGGGAGGTTTAGGTGGGACATCAGGAAGCACTTCCTCATGGAGAGGGTGATCAGACCTTGGGATGGGCTGCCCAGGGAAGGGGTGGAGGCACCATCCCTGGAGGTGCTCAGGGAAAGGCTGGAGGTGGCACTTGGTGCCATGGGCTGGAGATGTGGGGGTGTCAGGTCACAGGTTGGACTTGATGATCTTAAAGGTGTTTTCCAGCCTTGGTGCTTCTGTGACCCACCCACCCCAAGAGCCCAGGGACACAGCGGGAGGTGCTGGGCCCAGGTCAGCTCCCGGGCTCTGTCCTGCTGGCATTTTCAGGGGTCACTTTCTTTGAACCTCAACATCCCCCTCTGAAAAATGGTGGGAAATTGGTCCCTTAAGAGGTTTTCAGTGACAACTGATACTTCAAAACCCCAACCTGCTCCTCCTCCCTGTGCCAGCAGAACGTGCAGCTCAGGAAGGTCCCAAACCAGCCCCTCAGCTCCGCTGAAACCCATTGCCATGGATTTCCAGCCACGGCCCAGTGATGTCCCATTAACTCCTGGCCCTCACAGGACCCCCTCAGGCTGGGACTTACTCGTAGCAAGGGTTCTTGAGGGCTTCTGGAGGAGAGATGTACATGTAGGGGGAAATGGGCTTGTCCACAAAGGCCCCGAAGCCGATGCGCAGGTTGCTGGTGAGTTTGCGCATCTCGCTGGCCAGCCTGGTGCCCAGGTGCTGGATGTTCCTCAGGTCATCCTTCATGGAGTTGGACAGGTCCATCAAGTAGTAGATGTCCACGGGGTAGTCTTCCACTTGGCGTACTTGGATGTGAAAGATCTGGGAGTCATCTGCAGGGTGAGAGGGGCAGGGGAGTGAGGGACCCTCCTCTCCTGGGAGGAGCAAAGGGGGCTCCTCGTGGGACCAGGGAGAAACTCAACCTGTGGGGGCAGCAGGAACCCAAGGAGATGGTTTAAAGCTGCTGGGAGTTAAACAGACACAAAGGAGCAAAGCCCTTAGGGCAGGGTGCTGGGCTGGCAGAGCTGCTGGGCACCCCTTGCAGACGGGGTGCACGGCTCCTGTTCTCCAACCCTGTCATTACCTGGACATGAGCAGATTCTCCTGCCCAGAGCTGAGCCCCCCAAGCTGCCCTGCACGACCAACATGTGCTGGATGGAGTGAGCAAAACATCCAGTGTGTGGGCAGCAGGTCCTACAGGGGTTTCCAGGGGCTGCAGGGCTGCTTCAGGCTTCTCCAAGCTCCCAAGGACTCCAAACATCTCCCAGGTCCCCCCCATCCCTGTTCCTTCCCTCTCCTCCTGACCCCTCCCAGCATCTTCTGGGAGACTTCTGGTGAAACATTTTCCATTGAAACAAAAACCCCCTTAGCAAGAACCTCCTGGGGAAGAGGCCAGTTTGGATGACATTTGAACTCAGAAAAAACAAAAGCTGAGAACACTTCAAGTTGACCTTTTCTTTCTGCCTTTTAAAAGGGACAAAGGTTCTTTTTCTTGCTGTTCTTTGAAGCAGCTTCTTTGGCACAGAAGCTGGGGCACAGCTGCAACCTTCTCAGAACACCTCAGAGGTGGAGGGGGAAAGAAAAACTTGAACTGAGCTACAATTGTTACTGTGTTCAGATTTCCTCCTAAATCTGCACCTCACCTTCTGACTTTCAGGGGGGAGGAAGTTTCAAAAGCTACAAGAGCCCCAAGAGCTCCAGCCCCTCTCCAGCTGCTGGGACACCACCAAGTAGTCAGTGGTCACAGTTGGGCTCAGAGAGCATCTGCTGCTCCTCATTGAGCTAAGACCATGAGGACTCTGAGCTAGTGGGACATGGGCTGTGACTTGTCCTGCTCGTGTCCAGCATTTGGTCTTGGTTCATGAGTTCAGTGATCACCCTTGGT